TACCCTCTCCCCCTGTCTAATGACTTGATATAACCATATTCAGTGGCTCATGGGACATGCAAGACCTCATTGTTTTCATGATTGAGTTTTTTTGGGTGCAAGTGAAGCTATATTTTCCCGGTTTGAGCATAAAATGTTATTGGTTTTAAAAGTGTCTACGTTCTACAAAATTTTCCTCTGTGCTGTGTCAGTGTCACTATAGTTATTGGTATAGTGACTAGAACTTGGAATTGGTACCTTAAGCAGGGTGTTTGGATAAAATAGACATAATCTGATTTCTTAATGATCAGAAAAAGAAAGTCTGATTTATTGGGTACCTGAAACGTAAACTTTAATTAACTTCAATTTTTAAATGGTTGTGTTATGGACTTACGCTATACAAGACTTGTATATGTTTTAGTCTTGGGTGTGTCATATTTGACTGAAGTTCTTCACTAGAGGAATGTGAATTCCAAATTTTAGGTAATAACAAATACTGTTTAAGTGTTATTCCTTGATCTATTGCAGCTCTTTTGATTTGGCCTGTCCTTTTAAGATGTGTCTTCCTTTCCTTGTAATATTTTGCAGCATCTCAATCTGTGAAGAAAATCATTGAAATTAATCCCTATATGCTTGGCACAATGGCTGGTGGGGCTGCTGACTGCCAATTCTGGCATAGAAACCTGGGAATCAAGGTATTTGGTTATAAACTACTTATGCTTCCTTTTCCGAGTTGCTGTATTTACCCATTTTACGAGGGGAGTACTTGATATAAATCAATTCTGGACCTCTACATTACAGAGACCCTGTATTCTAGAGAATTTTAATGCTTCCGACTGCATATATTTATTTAGGAGTGGCCTCTGTGGTGGACAAGTTGAGGGAAGCGAGACTGAGATGGTTTGGTCATGTGAAGAGACGGGGCGCAGACGCCCCAGTGAGGAGGTGTGAGGGGCTGGTTGTAGAGGGTACGCGGAGGGGTAGAGGCAGGCCTAAGAAGTATTGGGGAGAGGTGATTAGACAGGACTTGGCTCAGCTTCACATTACCGAAGACATGACTCTAGATAGGAAGGAGTGGAGGTCTCGTATTAAGGTTGAAGGTTAGTAGGGCTAGCGTGTTGTCTCTCCTTGCAAGGGTAGGGGTTGTTAGCGTGTGTAGTAGTCCTAGTCTTGCAATTGCAGTTCTTGTCTGTGATATCGATAGCCTTTTGTTGTTTATTGCGTTTCACTTCTCTCATTGTTTTTGATGTTATTGTCTTCCTTTGTTGATTGTATATTATCTTTCGTATTGGATGGTATGTATATACACTGTCTTCCTCGCCTTTTACTTGGATTTGATGTACCTGAGCTGAGGGTCTTTCGGAAACAGCCTCTCTACCTCGCACGAGGTAGTGGCAAGGTCTGCGTACACTCTACCCTCCCCAGACCCCACCTAGTGGGATTTCACTGGGTATGTTGTTGTTGTTGTTGTTGGTTGTGTACTGCTCTCTTCACTCAACAGTAAAAAAAAGAGATAGGAAAAAGGTGAGTATAAGCTAATAATAAGAACGGAAATATGACCACATTGAAGGGGTAAAAGTAAAGAAATGACTAAAAATAAGTAGAGATGTTAGCGAACTGGTTCTTTGAAAGTCTCTTTCCGGTTAGTTTCTTCAAGTCTATGCCCCCATCTGTTGGCCATATTTCACTCTGCAGATTAAGGTCTCCTGAAGTTAAAGTCTAATTGTGCTTATTCAAAAGATAATAAAAAGGGTGGGGGATGGGGAGGGGACATGCATATCCTCTACCCCTGACCTATTTGCAGAAGAGAGTTCTGAACCTTTTATTTTATTTTCATAAGAGGTAGTAGTAAGGATTTTGGTTTCATGTACTTTGGAAGAGTTGGTCACCTGTTTCTTTTTCTGATTCAGTGCCGTCTTCATGAACTGGCAAACAAAAGGAGAATTTCAGTTACTGGAGCTTCAAAGCTGCTGGCAAACATTTTATATTCTTACCGTGGAATGGGTTTGTCTGTTGGAACCATGATTGCTGGTTGGGATGAGAAGGTAGTGAAAGATGGATGCTGGTAAAATTTGCAAAATTTCAAATTCCCTTTTCTTACTAATATAAAAGCTTGATTTCGCAGGGTCCAGGACTATACTATGTGGATAGTGAGGGAGGACGGCTTAAAGGAAACAGATTCTCTGTTGGATCTGGTTCTCCTTATGCTTATGGTGTTTTGGATAATGGGTGTGTGTTCTCTTCCACATTTTCCTATCAGCATTTCCATGGTTTCCCTTGTGTGTACTTGATAATGATTGTTAACTAGAATTGTCATATCTGTATGACAAAGGTGACTGACTTTCAGACATCATATTAGTCAGCCTTTCGTATATGGCTTGTGCATATTGAAGTGCAAAAGACTGCATTCACGAGATCAGATGCATTTACCTGTTGGACATACTAGACTTCAGTGTCTTCTCAAAATGAGAAAGTTGTGTTGTGCCCCTAAGGTCTACAACATATTCAATACGCAGGAGGGTGGGGTGGGGGGTTGCAGACGTTTCAAAGTGACTCCATAGTTTATTGTGCTGATCACTTTTGCAGCTTAAAACTCCTCGTGCTTATGACCCACTTTTAACTTCAGGAAACCACTGAACTCTGCGTCCCATCTCTAATTCTAATTTTCCTCCCTATGCTGTTTCACTCTAGGTACCGCTATGATCTGTCTGTGGAAGAAGCAGCCGAGTTGGCTAGACGAGCAATTTATCATGCTACATTCCGTGATGGAGCTAGTGGAGGTGTTGCTAGTGGTATGTTTCATGCATCTCATCCACAAAAAAAAAAGAGGAAATGCAATATTAGTTGGCTTTCCCCCGTCTCTCTGTTGTATATTCGTTCCATGGTCTCTGTGTATTTGTCATTAACTCGTGGATTGTTTCAGTTTATCATGTCGGACCAAATGGATGGAAGAAGCTTTCAGGTGACGATGTTGGAGAACTCCACTACCACTACTATCCCGTCGAAGTGGCAGCTGTGGAGCAGGAAATGGCTGAAGTGCCAGTGGCCTAAGGAAAAACAAAACCAAGATCAAATATGTGCTCATCTTCGCAAGTTAAAGCGACTGTTTAATTTTCTTCTGAGACTGTATTTTGTGGTCTTGCAATCTGTAAAACCGTAAAAACTTATCTACACCATATGTTTAAACTTTAAACCAAGCCAATAGATGCAAGGCTATGTGTGTTCCATTCATCACTTAAGTGTGTTTGGTATGGACAAAATGTTTTCCAATTTTTCCATGTTTTGTTGGCTTAAATGTTAGGAAAATGTTTTTCAAATCAACTCATTTTCCTCAAATTTAAGGAAAATGACTTGCCTTCAAAATTAAGGAAAACATTTTTCAAAACTCTATTTCATCCTTTAATTTTGTTTTCTTACCTTACCCATATCTTATGGCGGAGTTAGGATTTTTAATAAGGGGTTCAAAATTTGAAGTACGTAACACACGAACTAATCGATGAGAATTCGACATCTACTATATATACATAAACAATAATTTTAACCTTGCTAAAATAGTATTCTCTCCGTTTAAAAAAGAATGACCTAGTTTCATTTTTAATCTGTTTAAAAAAAATGACCTTTTTCTTTTTTTGGCAACACTTTAATTTCAACTTTTCACGTGACGCCACAAGATTAAAGAGCATTTTGGTATATTTGACATAACTTTAATTTAAAACCATAAGATTAAAAAGTTTTTTTTTTCTTAAACTCCGTTCCAAGTCAAATTGGGTCATTTTTTTATATTTTTTTTTATGACAAGGGAAATCCGCAGCCGCTACCCTTTGGGTTAGGGGTGCGCATCGGTCGGGTCGATTCGATTTTAGGTGTTATTGGTTCGGTTTATCGGTTTTCGATTTGTAAATACGTCAAACCGATAACCAAACCAATAACATATTTCTTATCGGTTAACGGTTCGGTTTTCGATTTAACCAATAAGAAAATACTCATATGTATTATATACACGATAAGAAAATTTTCAAATAAACCATATGATTTTTCCAGCATTTGGCATGAAAGTAATAATCATAAAAATAACAATCATTTTTCTTGCAAGTTTAGACACTAGACACATTCAAAGGAAAAAGTGTGAAAGTAACAATCGTTTTAACCATTAACAAAAAGTGTGAAAGTAACAATCGTTTAACCATTAACAATAAGACTAGTAAATTTAGTATAGTCTTATTGGGTTATCGGTTTAACCATTAACAAAAATTATAAAACCGGAAACCGAACCAATAATCCAATAAAAAAATTTGCAAAACCGTTTAAAAACCATTAGCCCAATAACCCAATATCAATAAATCAATAGTGTTTTTTTCGGTTCGGTTTATTGGTTAAATTGGTTTTTGCACACCCCTACTTTGGGTGCGCACAAGGTAAAACCTCTGCTCCTATGCAATAGCTCGCAAACTACATAGGAGAGGTAACCAGCACTAGGCAAGCCTGGTGCGACGAGCTCGATCCAAAAGGCAAACCCCTTGCTTTCGCTGGCAAGGGGTTTCAAACTTGAGACCTCCAATATGGAAGTCCCAAGTTCAAACCACTGGGCCACCCCGAAACGAAGAGAGTAATATTTTTTATCGAAGGGGTTCAGATAAACCCCTAACAGAAGGTTGGCTCCATCCCCTACACATACCCCATACCCGACCTTCCCCATTCAAAAAATAAAATTAATTTTTTTAAATTTCAAATATATTTTTATCCCTACCAGCAAATCAACCCTCCTCCCCCTCTCAAACCAAAAGAAAATAATTTAAAAATATTTTTTAATTTTTTTTCAAATTTTAAGATATTTTTTTTTACTTCACCACCCCTACTCCCTACCCCTCCTCCCTAAAAAAAAAAAATTGCTTTAGAAAAATACAATTTTTTTTTAAAAAAATTACCCACTCCCCTCTACCCCCAATTGTTAGATGACAGTAAAGGAATGGAGGGAGAAGTAACAATAAAAATACATAATTTTTTATATTCTACTTAAGGTATTTTGTTTCATCAGATCTGGTTGTCTCTTTTATATGTATGTATGTATGTATCTCCTTTTGGTTCTTCGTTTAATATTACCTCTTACTCGAATTGTGCATCTTCGGTATGTTTTCGTAACTGATTTTGGGGTTTTTTTGGTTCTTTGGAGGCTCTGCCCTTGGCAGGGATGAACTCGCTATCTTCTGTTTGTTGTGGCTATGTAATTATCTGATTGATATGGAGTTCAATTGATTAACTTGAGTGTATATTGTATAGGCATTTGGTTTAAGCTAAGTTGATTTCGACAATGCAAACTTCAGCTTCATCACTACAAAGCTTATTCTGGGGGAAGAATCTCAGCTATGCACCATATACTTTTAGCAGAACGCTAGATTTCATACCTGCTATGACATCTCCTCCATTAGGTATGTCTGATATAAAATATATTAGCATTTATCTTCTCTGTAGGCAATATGAATATGCTTCTCTTTTTAACTGTACAGGACCTCAGAGGCTATCCGTACAATGTGGAGTTGGGTTCCGCCCTTGCATTGACATACACAAGGTATACCTGTGTTTTTTTTTTTATGTCTTCCAGTGTTTGAGCTATTTATACCTTTCAAAGTTTTGTGAATACTTATGCAATGCTTGGTGCCCTTAGTAGTAACTTGAGATTATGTATTTGAGAAGTTTGACAAACAGTTCACTGCATTTATGGATGGGGCTATGATATTATATGAGTATAATGTTGTTCTTTATCTTTTCCACCTTGTTGTGCCATAGCAAATGACTTTTAGTACATCAGTGCTTAGCATTGGCAGTGCCAAGTATATGTGTATACCATAAACCAGGTAGTGAAGAACTAATATGTATTTGGTTGCATAGAAAGAATTAAAAAGAAGAAGAAAAGGTTCAATTACTGTTGGTGTTCATTCAGTATTTAATAGCATTTCATTTGGGAAGTTGAATCAAATAGGTAAGTAACAAAGAGGGGAGCAAACTGTTTTTCTTTATCTAATTACCTTTCAAGGTTAAAGAGTTTTGAGCTTGTTTCATATGCTTGGGAGATGCATTTCGCTAGGTGCTAACATAACATATTTGTAGATAGTTGGAAGATTTTAACTGAAAATTTCATTTTTTTTAGGGAAAAGTGAAGCAAATTGTTGGATCAACTCTTCGAGATTCTAAGGAGGCAGATACAAGCCTGGTAACTAACTTTGAATCTGATAAATCGGCTGCAGAATATGCAAAGCTTTACAGAGATGACGGCCTTGTAGGTGGCCATGTGATTATGCTTGGTGCTGACCCCTTGAGCATAGCTGCTGCTACTGAAGCATTACATGCTTACCCTGGTAGGCACTGGTCCTTATCTAATAAGTTCTTTTATGGTGGTTTTCATTTTTCTTGGCATACCAATGCTTCTCGTCATTCTCTCTTCCACAACACAGTATGCTATTACCTGATCTATCAGCTGTTGGCCATTTTATTATAGCTTCATTTGGATCTGTTTGCTGAAAATATATATTACTAGACACAGCTGTTATGATAAAGTGTATACATAGTTGATACGTCTCAACTTACAGATTTTTCCCTCTGGTGATATCCTTCGAGGGTGAAACATCTAGGTGGGTTGCAAGTTGGAGGGGGAATCAAAACTGAAAATGCTTTGAGTTACATTGAAGAAGGAGCCAGCCATGTCATTGTCACATCGGTATGTTTTCATGATTAATTTCTTGTGAAGTAGCAACTTTTTTTGCCATATTTTTCATGTTTCAATTTCTGAGGATATCTTACTGTCATCTTAACAATTATTTAGTATTGGACCTTAATTCAGTGGCACAGTTACCAAGGATACTTTCACATAACACCACCGCCACCCTCTCTAAGGATATCTCATATTAAGAGATTTGAATACATAATACCTCTTTATATGATTTTGTGATATTGTTGAAACCCCTAATTTATTGTACATTGAATGTCCTACATTAGGCTCTAAGTCCATTTTCTTATCACCTTAAACGGTAAATGGTTAGTATAAGTAGAAAAAATCAACCTTGATAGAGCTGAATGATATGACAGATTCATCTAGCTGAACCAACTAATATGGGATTGAGGCCTAGTAGATCTATTGATTGCTTATTTCATGAGAATAGAAGTCGTTAACGGCCTACTAGACACCCATGGTTTAAACTGATTCTTCTCTCCTTTTTGTTTTTTAAGTTCTCGGGTACACCAATGAGAGACTGGGAAGGGGAGCAACAGGTATTAAGTTGAACCGTTGCCTACAATAGGGAAAGTGGAGCGGCTAATACTTTCCCATCTTTACTCCTTATCATAATTACTTAATTCAATAAACCACCAATCAAAAAAAGTACTTAATTTAAGTTTCAAAAAGAAAAAGAAAAAGAGTACTTAATTCAATAAACAAAGCAACTTGATGAACAGGGAACAATTTGTAAACCATCTGATTGTTGTCAGCAACACTTGTTGTCTACTAAAAACCAGATAAAAGTTCCTGGATATGAGCTCAGAACAGAATAGACCTTAGCTGCTGTAGCAACAAAGTAGTGAAACAATGAATGATTCTGAGCTTTCAAGATGATTCGAAGGTTTCAGAATAGGCATTAACTTGGTTCTTCTTAAATTTGTTAAACTCCTCAAAATCTCTTTTCCCAATATTTGCATAAAAAAACCATGAAATGCCTCACCTAATTTCATCATACAGAACAATGAAAATAATCCAAAAATGTGATAACTTATGATTCTAGATGAATGGCCTTCTAGGCCCTCTCCAAAATAATTATCCTACTTCATCTTCTTTATCTGATACTTATTGTCGATATTGCAGTATGTCTTTAACAATGGGCAAATGGACCTTGAGAGACTGAAAGAACTTTCTTCTCTCGTTGGAAGAAAGAGGCTTGTTTTGGATCTTAGTTGCCGTAAAAAGGTATTCTCTTTTTCAATGAAATTACCTTTCATAAAAAAACTTTTAAGTTAAAAAGATATCCACATTTTTGGTGCTCCTAGAAAGAGAAGTTCAGATTAGTGTGGAAGACTTTCTCGTCTAAAATTGGTTAGGGAATGAATAGATGAATAAATTTGTAAAATTAGACTCAGTTACTGCTCTTCCTTTCTTCTGCCATGAGAGTTTAATCCATGACTTGAAACAACATACAGGAGGGTGAGTATGTCATTGTCACAGACAGATGGCAGAAGTTCAGTGACGTACATCTCAATGAGAAAGTCCTGAATTTTCTTGCAGAGTACGCTGATGAGTTTCTGGTTCATGGTGTTGATGTTGAAGGCAAAAAGTTAGTCCCTGTACTTTGTCCTTTTAACTATCTTTGTAGAGATTGTGAGTTGTGACAACAATTAACACAATTGTTTTAATGAAAAGTTCTCTTTAAGTCTGATCTATTATCTAGTGAACAGGCTTTATGTCTCTTTCAAAATTTCACAATGCCAATGACTGAACTAGGTAATCCCTTGACGGTTAATCCATAACAACAGGTGTTTGGAGAGGGTAGAATGTACACTGACCTTACCCCTGCATCAGTGGTAGAGAGATTGTTTCCGATAGACCCTCGGCTCAAGGAAGAAACAGTCCAAAGTAGTCCGGGAAAAGAAATTTGCATTATACCCCATGACATAGACAACTAGGTTCTAGGCCAACAAGAGTCCCAATTGCTTGCTTATGAAAAATGAAAAGAAAAAGAATGAAAAATTGCAATTTTGTTGCAATTTAAAATAACTTATTGCTCTGTCAGTCCAATAAAGTAACTCTTTTTAGCATACTGTGCTGACATAAATGTACTACAAATGCACTAGCTGGTTGAGGTCTGACCTTAAATTTTATATTTTCTTGACTTGCATTGAGTTACTCCCCTTTCTATTAATAACTTGTATCATTAACTAGACTGATAATTTCCCGTTGACTTAATAAAAATATCAGCTGTTGCTGAACAGCGAAAGGAAAGATCTTATGTGGCTTGTATTCTTTTTCTGCAGCATTCTCAAAATATAGTATAAGTTTCTCGTGAGAGATTGTAGTTAAAGAGAAACATAATTTGGATATTCATATTAATCATGTTAATCTGACATATGGTTCATAAATTATCTGCTTATCGAGAAATCTGTCATATGCTTCATACATGATCTGCTGATAAATAAATCTGACATGTATGATTCTTGTGTAACACAGGCTGGGAATAGATGAGGAGCTTGTAGCATTGCTTGGAAAGTATTCCCCCGTAAGTGGCATACACGATTATTAACCTATGTTCCTTATCAAAAAAAAAACTATGTTTATATTACTCCCCCTTGTTTCAATTTGTTTGTCTTACTTTCCTTTTTAGTCCATTTCATAAAGATTGCCTCTTTTCTTGTTTGGCAACTCTTCGATTTCAACTTTCCACATGACATGTTTAAAACCATAAGATTCAAAAGTCTAAACTCCGTGTCAAGTCAAAACTAGACAAACAAATTGAAACGGAGGGAGTACTATTTTTCTCTCACTATTGTGGCTTCTCATTCAAATGAGGGACAAAATGCTTCTCTGCCAACATTCATGTTTTCTTGTTTTATCTCGAATGCTGAATGAGCATCGATCTATTTATAAGCTTTGAGGGATTATACGATGACCTGGTTATCCGAGTCAAATCGAGTTCTTTACAAGCTTAAAAGAACGTGGCAAAAATTAGGGGATGTTTTGAATGTGTATGCACTGCATGTTTTGGCAGTAGATCACTTGGCTAAGGTGAAACACTAATACATTATCATGCAATTTGGCAATAGTACACTTTCTTATGTTGCTCGGACTCTTCAAAAATATTGATGGATGTGTTGGATTATCTAGAGGCTATGCATTTTCGAGGATCTTACACAGGTGCGGCAACATATTTGGGGGGTCTGAGCAACATAAGTGTATAGGTCCCTGAATGTATAATTCCTTTAATATAAGAGGTGACCGACATTTTATCTCCATGTGGCTCACAGATTCCTGTAACATATGCTGGTGGTGTCACTGTGATGGCTGATCTTGAGAAGATCAAAGTCGCAGGGATGGGGCGTGTGGATGTGACAGTGGGCAGCGCTTTGGATATTTTCGGAGGTAACTTGGCATACAAAGACGTTGTGGCTTGGCATGCTCTGCAAGATTCTATTGCAGTTTAAGCCATTCTTAACTTCCCATTGTTTGTTCAAGTTTTTTGAATCATAGCTGATGGAGTAATGTTCAGATGTTACATGAATCTTGACCTCAGATTCGTTTTGCCTAGACTCTCGCGTAGTTTCACCACCTATTTTATGATATTTTCTATTTAACATCTCGATGTTGGTTGCATTAGCGTCAAATTACTCAATACTTGTGTTGGTAGTAAGTAGCAGATGCTTGGTGGAGTAGTCGAGGTGTGCCCAACCTGACTTAACAGTCAAAAAAGAATTCGGTTCTGAGTTTGATTTGGGATTAGACATGAGAACATAACAAGAACAAAATGGGGGGTGGGGGTAATATTCTCTTTAAAATGTTCAATTAGTTAGTAATAAAACTAAGTGGAAGATTGGTATATTTCTAGTGTTGATAAATAAGTCTAAGTTTTTTTATAGTGAAAAAAACAGGTATTTTATGTTCCTCTTGCCATTAATAATTTATTTATTTATTTTAGCTTTTTTATGTGCTTTTAGGGCTCTAATAAGAGTGTAGATTTGTTGAAGTGGAATATATTCATTTATCCTCACAACTAAGTTTATATTCATTCAAATCCATTAAAAAGTTGAAGCATCAAAAAATGTCAAATAAAATCCATTTGGGAAAATGGTAGGGCCGCCTTTTTTTCCAAGTCTTTTATATACTTGATACTTGTTTGATCTTAATATATTCTCACTTTCATAAGGTTGCACATACATACATATCAAAACAGCAAGAATTATTACTACTACTGTGCTTTGATCCCATCAATTGAACTATATGAATTTTCACTCCTCTTGTCATTCCACTTAAGAATATTTAGTCAACAAACAATGTTAGAGTGCATGTTGATTTTATTCCTATCTCATAGAGATAGAGAGGTTTCGGATTGATCTTTGATTTAAATAAAGCATTTTCAAACAGATTGAAAAAAGGAATACAAATATGAGAGTAGTAACCAAAAAAAATTGAAATGGAGAGCAAAACAAAATATACTGCAGAAAGAACAGTAACGGCAAGGAAATAATGTAATAACGAAACACAAAATAATACAAATTATAATCGAAATTGTAAAATAAGAAACGACAAAAATATTGCTACTATTTCTGATAAGAAAGAAGGTTCAAGTACGACCATCAATTCAAGAATGGCTTGGTCCAGACTAGTAAAAAGAAATATGTGTGTTAAAAGGAGATGAAGTAGAGTTAAAATCACGCAAAAGGAAGTAAGTTATGTATTGTAAAGCATAATTTATAGATGTTAAACTTTTTTTACTTTTTTAATTTTTATTATAAATTCACTTATTGAAAATTCTGACTCCATCACGCACCGTAATAATTAAACATTGTGGGACATGATGTTTGGCAATGTACTCAACAAGATGCATAGATTAGGTTTGACTTGCTGCTGCTGCTGCTAATGATCGAATATGGTAATGATTATGAATTATGATCAACACACATGTGACATCATAATAAATAGGCCTACTATATTTATTAACTTATATATTACAACTAGTTGATTTTACTCATATGGATATGCATGGATTGAAGGGGGGTAAAAGGTGCATAAAAGTGTTAGTTAATTTGGCTTTGATTAATATTTATATTTTCTAACTTTAGGTGTATATAATTAGATATTTTTAACTTGTATATAATTGAAACAAATAGACACACACGTTTTACATGACAATTGTGGTCTTACATAACGTTTTATGTGTATTATGTCACATAAAATGTGTATGTACTTTTTCAGTTTTACACAAATTTAAGTCCTTACTTGTGCACATTCAAAGTTAGAGGACACAAAATCAGCTAAGGCCAAATTAAAAGACATATTTATATATTATGTCTAAAAAATATTTTCTAATAATTATAGTCACACAAGTATTTATTATTCTATTTTACTATCATAAATTTTAAAAGTATTATAACTATATAAGTTTACGTTCTGACATGTTTAAATCACAAATTTCAAAATACTCCATTTTTTGCTTAAACTTTATTTATAATCGAGTTAAACTTTATCACATAAATTAAAACAAAATGGGTAACATATTAAAATTTCTGCATGAGATAGAACCCTAGCACATTATACTAAGAAACATTTGAGGTTTCCAAAGCTATGGTAAAAAAAAATAATGGTGATTAGTCAAAGTAATTAGTAGTATTTTAATTAATTAACATAGGAGAATGAGAAGAGTCATTATTATAAGTTCCTAATGATGTACAGATAATATACATAATGCATGTAAAAACAAAGACCACTCTGCCCTAAAATCACCAAAGTGGGAGGCACCATCAAAGGAAAAAAAAAATGTTCTCTTAGAATAATGAAAACAAAAAAGTCAGCTTTCTAGTTGACTTACCCTAGAAAGTCTGGCAAATTTTAGAGGAACCAAAGGGAATCCTATCCTCATAACCCCCCCCCCCCCCCCCCCCCCCCTCTCCTCTCAAACCCCCACACCCCCACAAGAAGTCAAGAAGTGTGTTAGAGTGGGGGTGGGTGATTGGTTATAACTCTACATGGATTATTTTTTGGAATCTATTGATAGCAATTCAAATACTTATTTGTATTCGATATTTATTTTGAAAGTAAGACGAGTTGATCGTATATATATGATCTTTTATTAGTAAATTAAGGTTGAATTATATGAATTCTTATTTTTTATTGCTAAAAACGTAAATTCTTGACAGATTTCATCAAAAATATTATCGACAACATTTTAATGAAGTGGTTTAAAAATTTCGAGGATTTGAATTCAACTCTCACCATCATCAGGTAATTTCTTTCTATCCGTTGAAATCTTTACAGATAAAATTATATGATATTGATACTAATGAAAGATAACAAGTACTCTATGAAATTAATTGAGATATACGAATCAACCCAAGCATCATAATTTATAAAAATAAAAAGATTAGAAGGCATGTGTGCTATCAAAAGTAGGGGAAGAAATGAAAAGGGGTCACTCTCTTGGTTCCTAGTTGATGTTCTTTTGTGGGGGAGAGGAATATTAACTTTTGGAATAATAAAAAAGATAAGTTTTTTTTTCTTTCTTTTTTTACCTCCTCTTTTCCCCCTCTTTTAAAAGGTTGTCTTTTTGAGTGGGAATAGGGAACTCCACTCAAAAGCTTTTTTTAACAAGAGAATTATGTTTGGTCCACTCTTTGCTTTTTTTTCCTCCATTATTTATGTAAATACATTTATTTTTTATCATGTTCTCTTCATTTCATAATTATCCTCAATTCTTGACAATAAAAAGTAGTTTTAGTCTTGGCTAGGATTCCATATTTTGACAAAGTGTGCAAAGGTGAATCATTTGATTCCCCCTATTTTGGCCACTAAATTCAAATGAAAGAGAAACTCATGCTGGAAAAGGTGATTGAGTTGGTGTAGCAGATGATATTCATGTATTTTAAATGTCAAAAATCAATCTCTCTATTAACATCTTCTAATGATCAGTTCAGATCGTCATATTAAATTATTTAATACGATTTACATATTTGACATGAACAATAAAATACTGCACATTAATAGATTTTTCTTTTACACACCCAAAAAAATAGCGATTATGATTCCCTAAGAGTAAAAAAAGAGAGTGACACACTCTTCTTTCCAATCATAATATAAAGTCTACCTATGTATAATAATTCACCTTTTTATCCTATATAATTAACATTGTAATATAGTGTGAAACTTTTTTTAAAAAAATTATCTCTCATTTTCCAAGTGTCAAAATTCTATTAGTGTTGGAAATAAAGTCACAAGAAAAATCTCCTCTATAATATGTTACATTTTTCAAATGAAAATTCATGGAGATTTCGAATTTAAATTGTGAGAATATAATTATTTTTAATTATGAGTATTTTATCATTTTGACTTTACGATGTAAATTTAAGCTAGTCGGATAAAATTGATTAAAAAATCAAGTTAAGAAACTCATATTGTTTGAATCATATGTGATGTGTATTATGTTTAAAAAGACAATCTAGAATTTGGACTTGGTAATTCATAACTAAAGATGTCTTCCTAAATTCTAGAAAAACTACAAAATAAATAAATAAATTATTCTTCAGTAATTGTCTTTTTCCTAAAATAATATATGCATGGATTATTATGAAAAAAATATCCAAATGACAACTACTTAAAGTTTGACCATATTAATTATTATTGAATGCAAATTTTCTAATCTTGTGAACTTTGAAAGTAACTCATTAATTCTATATATCTCAATACAAAAAATGTGTTGCATATTATGGAACTTTTATATATTTTTAAAGAAGAAAACTCTTTTCAACATGCCATTTATTTATATTCGGTCAATAATTACAATAATCAACTTTTTATTTAAATATATAATAAGCACCAAATAGAAAAATTATAGTCAAAGAATTCACCTATAAATTTAGAAGTTTTCAACCAATTAATTACTTATTATAATTTTTCTAGACCCATAAGAGACACAACATATTATTATTCCTAAAATATTTCTAAAAAATTGATAAATTCATGAGACTTTGCATTCTAAACAAAAAAAACGGAGGATTGGGGTAGCCGGGTAGGTTAATTATTAACATGAAATTCTCCTAGATGTACATTTGGAGATTCGACGATAAAGATCAAACGACAATTTTAATTTATGAATTTGAGATTTATAGTTTATATGTGTTTTGGATTATATTATAGCACATTTGAGTTATTTATGAATTCTAAATGAATAATTCGTAGATATTAAATCAAAACTATTTAGTAGTAGAGTTTATAATTAAAACTCTATATTCTTTTCTGATCAAATTATTCTAAAACCTTATAACATAAAACACATCAAGATCTACTAATGTAAATATATACTCCCTCTATCTCTGATTACTTGTCTACATTGACACACATATTAAGAAAACAATTAATGACATAGTGAGTTTATTATTTTACCCCTATTAATTATGAAGTAGATGAAAAGTTCTACATTTTTCAAAGTAATTAGTCATTTAATTGAGGGTAAATAGGTAAAAAAAAATTGTCCTTTCTTGATTTGTCAAAATAGACAAGTAATTAGGGATAACTATAAAAAGAAAAGTGGACAAATAGTTAGGGACAAAGGGAAGTATATTGTTACATCCATTAAATAAAACAATACAAATCTTGTTAAAATTTTATATAATCGAATCTAATTTACCTAAAAAAAAATTATAATTAACATATGTTATTATAATGTAATCTTTCCGAAAATATTGACCATTGACAGATCAAAAATTCAAAACCATCATTGACTTTTATGAAGTTTAATGAAGTGCACGTGTGGAAGTCATGCTTTACTAATCAATTTTTATTTTTTTTAAGTTCTCTATTCAATATTCAGTAGTATCGTTTTGAGGTCTGTTTAATTTGAGTTCATATAAAAAGAGATTCACTTTGAAGAATAAAACATTTTACTAAAATGATTTCATATTTAAATTCAAATCTAAAATTTTTAATCAAAAATATTAAATACATATTTGTTATTAGGAAAATCCCACTAATTTGAGTTTTTCTATTATAAAAAAATCACTTTTACTTTTCTTGTCATACTTATGATGCATATAGATATTTTTTTTTCAACAATGATACCTCATTATGGACCCAACTCCATTCATATTTATTTTTTTACATATTTTAATTAATACGTACAATAAAAATGATACATTTTGCTCTCTCATATTTTTTTTTATCCTAATCAAATAGATACTAAAATTATGATGAAAATTGGGAAATTTTGCCTTTTAAAGTGTCAATCACATAAGATAATCAAAATAGATTTAATTGGAAAGACTTTAATGAATTAATTAATGTGTAATTACTATATAATGTGTATATAAGGCAATCATATCAATTATTCACTTTTGAATAATTATTAGTCAAAATAATACATATTGGTAAGAATTTTCTTAAGAAATATAAAACGTCGTGTGAAAATGAAATTGGTAAACATAAGACAACTAAAAATTCTTGGAATAGTATGATGTATATTAACATAACATAATAAATAATAATGTTTTTCTTTTCCTTTGTAAATTTACATGTGAACCAAATTTAAGATTATGACAGGACTACTTTAGACTCTTTTTTTTTGGTCTGTTGAGAACTCCTAATTTTACTTTGACTTTAGAAGATAAGAAATTGGATTAACAGAAATATGATTATTAGCTCTAAACTATATGAAGTGCATAGAATAAGGCCCTTATCAGTACGGACATAGTCAATTAATAAAATAAAGTTGGAGCTCAACTATTTTAGATTTGTGTTATGTAGGGCCCCATTCGGAGGAAGCGCATCCTACCAAGATTTTTTTTATATTCAGCACTCAGATTTCTCATTCGGTGTTCGAAACTTATATTGAAGGTCGATTATTTTGGATTTGAGCAGTGTATGGCCCCATTCAGGGGAAGCGCGCCCTACCAAGATTTTTTTTCTTATCTAGGACTCGAGTTTCCTATCTGGTGTTTGATGTCTATATTGGAGCTCAACTTTTTTGAATTCGCAATGCGTAAGCACACTCTACCAAAAATTTTTACTTATCCAAAATTCGAATCTAAGATCTCTAATAAAGAAAGGAGCAATTCCATCCGCTATAGCACCATGGTAAGTATTGTACCTTTTACAAATCTCAATAAACCAAAGTCAATAAAACCAACCACAAACACATCTACAAAAAAAAAGCATACAAACAAACAGGTCAGCTCTGTGGTCCTTTCTTGATTCTTCAACCAAAAATTTCACCTTATTAATCTCCATATTACTCCTCCTTCCTTTACTCTCTCATTTCCCCATTCCCCAATCCTTGTTGCCTAAACACAAAAAGCAATTTTTTTTTTGGGCAAAATGCTTCTTCTTAATCACCCCTCTATGACTTTTTCTTCTTAAACCATCTTCTATTTTCTCCTCATTTCACATTTTTCTTGGTTTTTGTGCCTCATTTTTTCTTCTGTAGCTCCAATAACCAAAAGGGTTTAAAGAACTCAGCTGCATTTCTGCAAAAAAACTGTCTTTTTAAGTCAAAGCTAGCAGAATAATAGTAAAAAAAAGAGTGAAAAAGGGGGAATTTTTTTCCTTTTTTGTTTTAAAGGGTAGGTGATTCTTGAAATCTTTTGATAAGGGGTTTGAGAAATTTTTACTTTAAAAAAAATGGTAAGCAAATGGGGGAAAGTGAAATTGGCTCTTGGTTTGAATCTTTGTACTTATGTTCCTAAAAAAACACTGGATGAAAATGATGATAGTGGTAGTTCAACAGTTTCTGAATCAGAGAGGCATTCCGGTGCCGCCCTTATATCGCCGGCGACGGCTGACTGGGATGTTGCTCCGGCGACCCCAAGGTCACAAGTGTTGAAGCTCTCCAAGAGCTTAAGTAGATCTTCTAAGGTTTGTTTTCCTGTTCTTTCTTTATTTTTTAACTGTTTCACTTTTATATGTGATTGTAGCTGACAAATAGTGAACTTGGAAGGAATTTTGTTTTACAAGTACAAATTTTGAAATTAGTCTTTGGATGTTGAGGAAAACATGAAGGGAATTTTGAAAAATATGTAGAAAATTTGAGATTCATATTAGCTGATTGACCTGAGCTTGTTTGAGACTGAGGCGTAATTGTTGTTTGTACTTTGTAGATAGTTTGTGTCTTTCATCAATATATGTAAGTGTTTGATGTTTAAGAACTCCTAAAGAGTAAAAAGAGTAAAAAATATACTTAAGTATCCTGGACTTTTCAAGTTTCATACTTGAACTATTATGTGTGCGAGTTTCCTACTGAACTATCACCAACTATTTGGATAAACATTTGGTGGTAGTTCTGGTAGAAAGCTTGCACACCTGATAGTTCAGGTATGAAACACGAAAAATGGGGATACTTTAGGCCTTCACTCTTCTTTCAAGTCTTTTTTTTTATCCCTCTCTTAATTTGAATTATTTCTGCTTTTTATGGTCAAATGAATTTCTTGGTTCTAGTTAAACATGTAGACTTTGGTTATATCTGTTATCTACTCTATTCGGTAGCTAATTATACATTGTAACCTAGAAAAGCTCAATCCTTTCATATTGTCTAAATTTGGGAGTGGCCTACTAAGGATCACAGGAAAGAAATTGAGTGAAACTAGGTAATTCTAGGACATGTTACTGTTGTTTCTTTAGTTTTTATTTGACTAATTGTATGTGCTTTCTATCGCTCTGTGTAATGGAAAATTTCGAAACTTTACCTGGTAATAAGTTGTAATTATTCCATTGAATTTGCTATGTTTTAGCCTATTGTTCAATTTCTGCTGTTGCTATATGCCTATGCATATTGTTTGAACTTACAGACTTGAGAAACAGTTCTCATTTTTGTTTTTTAAACTTCTGTTACTTTTCAATTAGAGAGAAAAGTAGACCAATTCCAAGCGGTTGTTGTGTGATTAATCATAATAGCCCTGTTCAGGACTCTTGTCGTTGTTCCTTGTTCAAGCGTTATAGGTGTTGTTCTTTCACCACTTTAGAAAGGAAAGTAACTTGTTCAGCAGCTTCTGTTGAATATTCTTTACCAACAAAATGTCAAGCAAAGTTTGCTTAATATGTCTGTATTTGTGTGTGCATTTATCCAGATTTTGTTTTATATTTTTCAAAGTAAGAAATGAGTACCTCCAGGATTTGGCCTGCAAATTGTCATAAGAGTATTTTTCAGGATCCTTGTCCTTTCTTCTTAGTGATGGCTTTTTAAACTTTATCTTTGTTGTGCATCTTTGATTGCTTATGGTTTGTCATGAAAGTGACTAGTTTTCTTCAACACAAGAAAAAATAAAAAAAAGTTGATTTTGATTCTTTCGTAAGTATGTAGTCATATGTGTTTGTTACCGGCATGACCTCTTGTTTCTGTCTTATTTGAGTCCAATGGTTATTGTATGGACATACTATTCCATTTTCTATTGATTACAAAATATGCTTGAGACATTATTGACCCACTTGATCTTTCCATTTGGAAGCCGTTTGTTTTATTTTTTTTGCTAACTTCTTCTGTTTCTTTCCTCTTTATTCTATTTTGGGTCATTGACTTAGCGATAAGATTCTGGTATTTTGGTCTATTGATAGATTGCAGAATAAAACAATAATCTAATAAATAGGAAAACGAAGTTTCCATTTCTTCTGTTGTCAGTGTTTTCACGAATGGTATTTGATTGATATGAACGCATACCTTACCCCTACCTTTGTTGGGTTAGAGAGGTTGTTTCTGGTAGACCCTCGACACAAAAGAAATGTGTTCGAGCAGGATTGCAAGAAAAATTTAGCAGCAACGTAGCAAGATAAAAGGCAAATATAACAACAGATAGTAATACACATTGGAAAATATGAGACTTGATTGATATGGTCCACCTACAACTTAATCAGTAACGATTTTCTTGGACTTGGCTAAAATTGTATTCTGTTGCTACAATAGTTCATCTCTAGTGTATGTCCATGAGTACATATCCGCTTGCAATCTTCTGTCTCATAAATAGTGCATAATTGACTTCTTTTCTACTACTATAAATCTGTTTAGATGGAACCATTTCCTTTTACTTGCATTGTATGTCAATCAAACTGGTACATTGTTCTTTTCGTCACCTCACCCGTGCTTTTCTACTTTCAGAAAACATGCTCAATATGTTTGGCTTCAATGAAGAGAGGGGATGGCCATGCTATATTCACCGCTGAATGTTCACATTCGTTTCACTTCCAGTGTATTGCTTCAAACGTGAAACATGGAAATCAAGTTTGCCCAGTTTGCAGGGCAGAATGGAAAGAAATTCCTCTGCAGTTTCCCAGCCTAGATCCTCCTATTGGGAGGGCTAGAGTCAATCCTGTGGACTGGCCCCAAAATAATGCACTAATGACTGTAATACGTCGTTTACCAACAACCCGCCCAACACCAAATCGACATATTTCCCCTCTATTTCAGGCTCCTGAGCCAGCCATCTTTGATGATGATGAATCTTTGGGTCATCAACTCAATTCTACTGAGAAAAGTGCTTCTGATAAGAGTTCAATAGATGGTTGTGAGTCTTGTGACAACAGAAAAGTAAAGATTGAAACTTACCCTGAGGTTCCGGCAGTCTCAAGGTCCAGTGCTTCAGATAACTTTACTGTGTTAGTCCAGCTAAAGGCTCCTGGTTCAATCTCAGTACAAGAACCAGGCAAAAACCAGGTAAATTTGTCTCAGGTTTCCCAAACGCCTCGTGCTCCTGTTGACCTTGTCACAGTTCTTGACATCAGTGGAAGTATGGCTGGCACCAAACTAGCGTTACTAAAACGAGCTATGGGTTTTGTGATACAGAATCTCGGTCCCAATGATAGGCTGGCAGTAATTGGCTTCTCTTCGACTGCTCGCCGCCTCTTCCCTCTTCGTAGGATGTCTGAGACAGGACGGCAGCAAGCACTGCAAGCTGTAAACTCCCTGGTTGCAAATGGAGGGACAAATATTGCTGAAGGCTTGAGAAAGGGTGCCAAGATAATGGAAGACCGTAAGGAAAAGAACTCTGTTACTAGTATAATACTGTTGTCTGATGGTCAAGACACATACACAGTCAGTAATAATTCTGGTAGTAGACAGCAGCAACCTAACTACAAGCTGCTTCTACCCTTGTCCATTCATGGTGGAAACAGTTCAGGGTTTAAAATACCAGTACATGCTTTTGGGTTTGGTGCTGATCACGATGCTTCGTCAATGCATTCGATATCAGAGATTTCAGGAGGAACGTTTTCATTTATTGAGACAGAAGGTGTCATACAGGATGCTTTTGCTCAATGCATTGGAGGCCTTCTCAGTGTTGTAGTCAAGGAGCTTCAGGTAAGCATCGAGTGTCTTCACCCAGGTGTCCGTCTTAGCTCTTTAAAAGCAGGAAGCTATCCAAACCGCTTAATGTCTGATGGACACATGGGAACAATTGATGTTGGAGATTTATATGCTGATGAAGAGAGGGATTTTCTGGTTTCAATCAATATCCCTACTGAATCTTCATGTGCAGAAACATCATTGTTAAAGGTTAAGTGTGTATATGTGGATCCTTTCACGAAAGAGAAGGTTTCCATCAGAAGCGAAGATCTTAGGATCAAGAGACCTGAAAAGGCTGGACAAGAGAGTGTTTTAATTGAAGTAGACAGGCAGCAGAACAGGGTCCGAGTAGCCGAGGCAATGGCACAGGCACGAGCTGCTGCTGAGAAAGGAGACTTAGTTGGCGCGACTTCCATCCTAGAGAACTCCAGAAAGTTGTTGTCAGAGTCACAGTCTGCTAAATCTCATGACCGGCTTTGTGTTGCACTTGATGCTGAGCTCAAGGAGATGCAGGAGAGGATGGCAAGCAGAAATGTATACGAAGCATCAGGAAGGGCATATATCTTGTCAGGGCTGAGCTCACACTCGTGGCAAAGAGCAACAGCACGAGGTGACTCCACAGGTGGATCAAGTCTTGTCCAAGCCTATCAAACCCCTTCCATGGCTGAGATGGTAACTCGATCTCAGGCTACATTACTGGCTAGCCCTTCAGCTCAAAGAAATGTTCGACCAGTGTGGTCATTTGCATCACAACCAAAGCCTAGGTAACAGTTACATAACCACGGAGCCTCATATGTTACTTAGTGTTGTCTTTCCTCTTTATATTACTATTAGTTTTTGAAAGGCTGAGAAGTTTTTGAATGTCCATAAATTCACGTCTATTCTTGTAAAGGAATAAACTTCAGCCAATCAAAATCGGGGAAAGGTGCTATATAATTTTGGGAAATGGAATGTAAGGTTACATTAGTTAGGTTCTTATGACTTTTTTGGTCCTCTCGTTTTTTGTCATTTGTTTTGACTTTTTGTTGTTGGGGGTGATGTACATAAGGAGAGATGGCTTATTTCTCTGGTAAAAAAGGGTATAAGTTTGTCATCTATATATTAAATCCTGCAAAGTTATTCTTTTCCTTTGACTTTCTTGCCTCTACTTTCTCCCAAAGGGGAGCCTTGGAGCAATGATAAAGTTGTGTGTGACCTATAAATCACGGGTTCGAGCCATGAAATCAACGACTAATGCTTGCCATCAGGATTGGTTGCCTTTGGAGTGCGGTCGTTCTTGGGACACTGTATGATGCTTTGTGCACCAGGTTGCTTGCCTTTGTTTTCTTCCTCTAGATGCTAATAAATCAGTTAATTCAGTGATGTCTAGAAAGTTTCATTGAAGAAGCTTTTGCAGTTTTGCAAAAAGGCAGTTGAAAAATGAAAGTGGTATCAGCACTAAAATGACTTTCAAGAATTGATGATTCAACTTGTTAAAAGTCAAGGATAAACATGAAAAGGATCCTTTAATGCTCCCTTTTCTTCTTTTAATTCCCTTTTACATTGCTTTGGTGTGTTGGGGGTTGGGGGAGATGCTTTTAGTTTTGAATTTGATTCTCCATTATAGAAGATAAGTTGCATATGTGAGACTGCATGATCTTTTGTCAAGGAATAAACAGAGAAAAGGGAAAGGCTGTACTACACAGGACAAGTATGAAAGTGAAGGCAATTTGTGTTGTAGTTTCTGCATTGAGTTTTTTTTCTTTTTTTAAAGTCCCATGCAAGGGAAGTCAATTGACACTCCTTCAACTGAATATTACATTGGGTACTATGTTGTGTAGATACGTTAATCTTTCTTTTTAATGTATAATATAATATGTCAAGTCTTCTTAGTATTTGCTAGTTGGAGTTGGAGATTGTAGGTACATAATATCCGTGGTGTGTACAAGTCGGCTCGGACATTACTATTAAAGTTCCCTTTCTAGATTTCATTGATGAAAATATGCATTAGTGGACCATTGGCTTTGTCCTCCAACCTTGAAAGACTCCAAAAAAGTTTGCCATTTTTAAATAAAGTTGCCACTTTGAAGATATCTTATTCAACCTTTTCTCATAGGGTCTTTTTTTATAGTTTCTTTTAAGAAGTGGAATTTGAACCATATACTTTACATTTGCAAGTTGCTACTCTTTTGAAATGTTCTGCTTCATATTTTGTATTCACTTTCTTATTGTGTCATTTGGCTATCAAGAGTCACAGTATATATATATTCTCAAGGGAGTATAATTGGATAAAAGTCATAGTTTTAAATTAACATATAAGTGGTTGACTAAAGTTTCTTTCAAAAATGTAAAATTTGGCAACTTTAGCCATGTTTCTACAACTTTACCACAAATTGAATGCATATACAACTTTCTAGAAAGGATAAGATACTACATTTGAGATACCAAAAGAAAAATCTCTATCCTCATTACGTTTCAATTGTAAAAGATTTATACTTATTAGGACAAATATTTGATTGTCAATCACAAAATAGTGATAATAATAATATATAATAAATAAATAAATAATGTGATGTAATTACTTCTTAAAATTTGTTGTTTCATGTATCTTTATTGGGATAAGGAAATCTCTTATATATGGAAAACAATTCAACGAGTTCTAAGCTCATGAATCTTGAAATTTTACACGTAGAATTTAAAATTGTATAACAATAATTGTTTTCAAAGGTCGAGTCGAAAAGTGATGAGGACAAATGCATAAGAGCAAGCCGAAAAATATGTTTGGCCCAAGTAACATAGAGCCCAAACTTCCAAAGTTTGTTGGCCCAAAGACCATAGATAGAAGCCCAAAGTCCAAAAGTATGTTTGATCCAAGAACTATAGAGCCCAAAGGCCAAAATATGTTGGTCCAAGCCTATAGAACCCAAAGTCCAAAGATCATAAAGCCCAGTCCAAAAGTTTGTTGGCCCAAAGACTATTGAGTCCAAAAGCTTGTTGGCCCAAAGACCATAAAGCCCAAAATCAATGCTGAATTTTCAGATTACAGTGTATGAATCAGTTAAAAGAGAAGACTGAGAAGAGAGTTTACCAAAATTTTTTTCCTCAAAGACTAGCAATGGGAGCTATGGCGATCCTTCGATTAGCCCTAGTTTTCTCTATATTGACCTCATTTTCGTTACTCGCCGGATCTTCACCTTCGCCGTCAACGAAGTTGCAGATCGTCACCGCCGAACGCAGAGTAAGCTCCCACCTTCAATTTAATCTTTCAATTTCAATTCATTTCTCCTGTTTGGTAATTTTCCGAATCCTACTGTTTACTAGTATCATTGGTTAAGGATTTTCACTTTTATGTAATTTTTGTTTTCTGAGAATTTATGGTTATAATTTTGAAGATTGAACTCTTTGTAGAGGATTTTAATTTTGTTCATTTTTAGTTGTTGAAGGAGACATACTGATATTGCCACCGGCTCTCATTTTTGTTCTGCAATCCTGAATCTGCACCAATTAAGGTTGCCTCCTTGGTTCAGCTATTGACTATTGTAGTTTTTTTTAATAGCGAGGGGATTACAAGGTGGGAAATTGAATCCTTAGCAACAAGGTGAAAAGTTTAGGTAGCTAACCAATTGAGTTACTTCGATCCCCATTGACTATTGTAGTTACTCCGTATAATATAAGACAGTCATTGGGTAAATATGGAAATGTCAACAGAAAACAATTCAACTATGTCAAATCAAGCATAAATATTTTTTTAGAAAAATAAAAATATTAAAGGTTATAGCTTTTGGTATGATGATAAGTGCTTAATCCTAACAAGTGGCATCATAGCCAAGAGAAAAAGAAACCTTCCCTTTGCCTTACTTTGTTCTTTAAGAAAAAGGAAAAGAGATCAGATGCCTTTCGAGTGTTTCCGATTTTGTGAAGATAGTTTCTGTATATATAATGCCTATATGTGCGATCATTAGCCATCCTCATCTGACTCATTGATATTGATTTTTCTGACTACCGTGTTTTCTCACATCGTTGATTTAAGGATTGATTTCCTGATCAAATTTGTGTTTGGTATGATGTAAGATGCTTTTTTTCCCCTGAAAATATGTTAGCTGAAGAAATGCTGTTTTTGTTACCTACAGATTGTAAATTCCGGAACGAAAATTACATGGAAGTAATTCTTCCTGAGAAATATCTCAACTTTTACTACATTTTTGCCAGTTTGACACTCAGAATTATCAACTGACCACCGTCTCATTATGTGTATTCTAATTTGTATTTAACTACTTAATCCCACCAACCTTGGAAACTGATCCCATTTTTTTTCTATGGAAACCATATCCCCCCATATCAAACGTCTGAAGATGAAAAATGGAAAGGGTTTATATTCTAGATGAATCCAAAGGTTTTAACTTTTTTCTACTTCTAAAAGTGTGGGTGCATAGAGTCGCAGTCTATGCAACTTAACTCTGCACCTAAATGGTTCAGGCTTCATATCTCACCAAGAGCCTTTTTTCTTATTCAGTCCCCTTCCACAAGATAAAAAAAGAGAGAAGGATTTGGAGAAAAAAGTTTGCTTGTGATCTCTTTCATTCTCATGTCTTTAGCAAACTTTTTATTGGTCATCAGAAGAAGCTCCTCATTTTTTTCAGCTACGCTTATCGAAGTTACATTGTTGTTAGTATTTGCGTCCATTATGATTTTGACTACTCACTGGTTGTATTGATTTGCTGCAGATTGACTTGACATCACACATTGTGAAGGTGTTCTTGACATTGAAGGTACTAATCCAAGTTTACTACATTAACTGGACCTTATGGAGTTTTGACGTATTTCATTTAATGTGCTGATCACTTGCTATATATAGCTTGTTGTTCATCCTTTAACTTTCCTTATAAATTTTTTTATCCTACAGTGAGGATTTATAAACACAACATGTTTCTGCGAATTTGGTTATATCTGGATTTCAAAGTTAGTCAAATTTCAATGATAATAAAAACAGACTTGGTGATTAAGTGAAGAGCCACTGGAAATAAACATTCATTACTTTTCTTTAGCATAATATAATGGGATGTCTGATTGTTTGGCAATTTCAGGTTGAAAATATTGGTGAATCTTCTGCTTCAGAAGTCCTTCTTGCCTTCTCTCCCACAGAAGCTGATTGTCTGGCAGTGGTAAAAGCAGCCGCTTCTGCTGGAAAGAAGAAAAAGAAATCTTATTTGCCTCTTGATGTGAAGCCAACTGACCTGTCTGATGGACCAAATGGGACTAAGTACTATTTAATACATTTGCTTAAGCCATTGGGCAAAGGTGAAGCCATCTCGCTAGAAGTTCTTTATATATTGACACATTCTCTTGAGCCTTTCCCAGTAGAAATAAGCCAGTCGGAGTCTCAATTAGTTTATTACCGTGACAGTGCAAAAATCTTGTCACCGTATCCTATTAAACAACAAGCTACGTTTCTAAAAACACCAAGTAGCAGGGTTGAGTCGTTCACAAGAGTTGTGCCTACAGATCGTGCAAACACAGAACTAAGATATGGACCATATGAGGAGCAACCTCCATTTTCATATTCACCTATAATTGTCCATTTTGAAAACAATAAGGCGTTTTCTGTGGTTGAGGAGCTTGTGCGCGAAATTGAAATTTCTCACTGGGGAAGCATACAGGTTACCGAACATTACAAATTGGTACATGCTGGTGCTCGGCATAAAGGTGCTTTCTCAAGGTCAGTTTGCCAATAAATATAGTTCATAATTCCAAATTAAATGTGAAAATTGAAGATCTACTTGATACTGTCAACTTATTTCTCAACTGGAGAATATCAGACCTCAGTTGATAAAGCTGGTATTTATAATAGAGTAAAGAAAGTATTCACTGAAATGAATATAGTTAAAGAGAAACTCTTTCTTCTGTCCAGTGTTCATTCACTAAGATGTAAGGACAGTAAAAAATGGCAACATAAACAAAAACCTAACACAAATAATCAACATTCTGTCCTTGATAGCTTTCTGAGACAAGTGATTTCCGGGATTAGAATCACCTTCTTTATCGATATGAGTTAACTGAATTCTAGAAGCTTGTTTGTCTTCATTACCATTTATAAGTTCAGATTCATTTTGTG